CTCTCTCTCGCTCTCTCTCTCTTCTCCGATGCGGACAGTCCGTCGTCGAGCACCGACCCACGAAGCCGTCACCCCGCTTAGTCCTCCCGCACCCGTCAGGTTCGCCCGCGCCCACAGTCCGTCGTGCCCCGCGTCAACCCCGCGCGTTCGGCACCAGCTCGTCGGGTCGCCCGACTCCTGCTCTACCCTCCTCTTACTTCGCTCGTGTGCCGACCCTTCCTGATCGCGCAACCCCGAGCTTCCAACAGCTGGTTAAAAGAGCTAACTAATCGCGCCGCCGGAATTTATAGCGTGCATGCATGCGCGAAGAACACGGAATTACTAGGACTTAGAAGAAGAGAAGGGGGAGGGATTTGCCTACGTCTGCATGGTCTGATCGCGGGGTGGGGGACGTAGCCGCTCTCCACGCACCGATCCGATCATGCAGACCACGACTACCAAAAGCGCAGCAAAAGAACGAGAAGAAGGGCGGGAAAGACGAAGTGCAAGAAGGAAGATACAGTTACAATGGCGCCCGCCCAAAATTACAGTTACGCGCACGATTAAAGGCGCCTACTAATCAGAGTACCGTTGCAGCCGCATGAAGAAGCGCGTAGACAAAAGGCGCCGCGCAGCAAGAAAAATCCTAATTACTAAATTCCTAAATTCCTATCTAATGCGAAGAAGCAAAAAGCACAAACTCCAGAAGGAAAGTCTGAATTCCGAGACCCTTCGGGGCTCGACAAAATTCGAAAAAGATTCAAAAGAAAATGCAAAAAGAACGAAGCAAATTCCCGCGCGATGTCCACGCCCAAAAGTTTGGAACCGAAACAAAAGAATCAAACGTCAACATTTATTAATCGCGCGCACGGTGGCGCGCCAGCCGTTCAGCCGACCAATCAATCACCCGGCCATCCCAGGACACACCCAGCTCCGAGCCCAGCCATTCGAAAAGAAGCGACGAAAGGAAAAGACGAAAAAGCAAGGACACTGATGCAATTTCCCACCGATCCCGATCTCCCATAATTGGCCCAACCTTCCCAACTTAGGACCCCTCATTGCAGCCGCGCAGAAAGTCGCGCGTTACAGAAAGTGGTTCGTCACAAGCTGTACTTGCATTATGAAAAAATATCGTCAACTCCTGGGAAAAGCCCGGTGGTCAACACACAGTGAAGCGCAAGCATAAGCGGAAGGGCGACCGCCTGTTCGATCGGCAGAAGCCAGAAAAGAACAGCCGACCGGTCATACCGCACCTGTGTCCTATCGGACAAAAAAGGTCCTAGTCGTCAGTCTTACTGTTTTTATCCCAACCGACACTGACTATTCCCTTGCCTAATTTTAGATCAGCCTAACCCCCGCTACTTCCATCCGTAGTCCCTCACCCGGGTCAGTCCCGGTCCAGCACAGTTCCAATACCCAACCCTTATATCCCGAAACAGTACCCTTCAGGTTCCCCCGATACCAAAGGGTATTCCCTGGTCCCAGGAAGGGAGGAACATGAAACAGGTCGTTTTCCTTTTTTGTTTCTTGTGTGAGGTCCTTGTAGCGCCCTGCCAGACAGGCAGGGTGGATTCCACGCGAGGCAGCTAACTGCCTCGCTTCATTCAGTTCCAGATTAACACTGTAGCATCCTGTATAGGACCGCAATCACAGCATAAGGGATGCTGTCTTTTTTTTTCTTTTTTTTTCTTATCTGCTGTTCGTGGATAGACGAGGGCCTGACTGAACTGCGCAGCCCGAGTTTCAACTGCAATTGAAACTCGGGCCCTGACTAAACTGCTAAAACGCAGTTTCAAATGCAATTACAAACTGCTTTGGTGACTGCACCGTAGTTACCCCTTTATTCTTCTCTCAATTTCACCTCACACTACCTACCTACCACTACTGTAGTTTTTTGTTTTTTTTACTCCTAATTATAGGCATACGGGGAACCGTAGCAGGGGGGATGCTCCCTGCCTGCAAGGTGGGCGATACCGGCTAGGGGAAGGGGACAGCCGGTAGCATCAGGGACCATGCCAACAGGACCTTGTGCCTCCCCTCAGGTGGTGGTCCCCCCCCGTACGAACATCAGCTGCAGACTCTGCTCAATGCCAATCCGGGGATCCAGTGGTCTATCTGTAGCTGGCGGGCGGGCGCCAAGCATGCCCAGGAAGGTACATGAGGCCAATGGGGATTGAACCCATGACCTCCTGAATGCCACTTGCGAGCCGCAGTGTGTGCTGATGTGGTGCCACGTCGGCGGCGTGACATCAAGTGCCAAATCACCACCTGCGCTAGATGACACGCTGCTCGGTTGGGTGTCTCTTTTTTTTCTTTTCTTTTGAAACTGATCAGATACTACACTTGATCTTAGCCAAAAGGCCGAGAAAAGTATGGTTGGGTATCTTATCTCTGAGGGCATACTCACACTGCGACCCCAAATCCGCAAAAATATGCGGATTTGGGAAGGGCCGATTTGAGGTTTTGGGCATGTATGCGGATTTGGGAAGGGCCGATTTGAGGTTTTGGGCATGGTTCACATCACACTGCTGTACCTTTTCAGATGGGACAAGGTCGCGGCCGTCTGGAGAAATGGGGATTTGGTACTTGGCTGGTCACACGGCGCCATCCGCAAATTGTGCAAGAACTCTCTTTTTTTTTTTTTTGTGTGTGTGTGTGTGTGTGTGCAAGAACTCTCGTGATGAACGGATTTTCACCAATTCTCGAAGAAAAAGTGAAAAAATAAATAGGGCATTTGCGGTCACCTCCAGGGGCACGGTTCCACTAGCACACGAGTAAGGTAAAGTGTATCACAGAAACACCTGGGGGACATATGCGGGACATAGTCCGACCACTGATGCGGGAGAATCGGATGGCAGCGAAACTGCCATGAATTTATATTCTGAAGTGGCATTTTTTTTTTTTTTTTTTTTGTGCTGTTTCTTTTCAGTTCCCAAGAATGAGAGGCGGGAAAAGAACAAAGAAAGACTGGTTTTGATGGCAACCGTCAGAGAAGGGAGTCCCATCAGGCACATGAGGGGACTTCCTCGCGGTGGTACATGAGACTGCAACAGTCACGCACCACTCTGTCCTGATTAGGCATTGGCTTGGCTGGGGAGGAGGGGGAGGAGACGGGAGGAGGGTTAGTGGGACGGCAGCACTTTCAAAAGTCGGTCTCCTTCCCATCTTGGGAAATGTGACATTGCCATTTTTATTTTTTTTTAAAGTCTTAAAATTTACTTTTCTTCCTTTTCGTACAGTGCCGCACAGGTCATAATAGGCCATGACTTGTGTGCTAATGGAACCGCGCTCCAGGGGCCTGGACCCACTAGCGAAGTATTCTACGATGTGTGACACAATTTTATGGTTTTTTGGGAAATGCAAAGTGATTTTTTATTTGCATGAATGGATCGTTTTCTGATTTAAAATGAACTGAAATAGCACATAAAACTATTCTGATTTAAAATGAATTGAAATAGCACATAAAACTATGAAGAACAGCCATGCACCCGAATTCATGGGATGGGTTGGTACGCTCTCCTTCACGTAAGTCTTCATAGTGATGTACCGTGGCAATAAAATGTGTCCACGAACACAGTCACGAGGATGAACAAGTAACGGGTATTGGGATACATTCATCACCATGTATCTCATGATGCCTCGAGCAGGCCATCCAACGGAAGCGTTCCTGTCAGATCCACCGCAATATTTGAATTTCACATTTCTAGTTCTATTTCTCAGAGCCAAAAAAAAAAAAAAAAGAGAAGTCTGGAAATCAACCCCCCCCCTCTTTTAAATCCATAAAACCCAGACTTCTCGCGCACGCAAAGCCGTGAGTT